ACCCTGATTGTTTTTTGGCACTGTATAATGAAAATTTAAATTTCATCCAAACAATTTGAAATTTGACATGACTATATTCTTAATCATATACAAATTCCCTTTCCGATGACTATGAATTTTTCAAGAAAAAAATTAAAGTTTTTGATTCTTCCTGAAAAATGCATAGCTATCGGAACATGAATAGATGTCATATTATGAAGTATATTTATGCATGTTCACGCGAAATTTCAAATTTTTTGGATGAAATTTAAAAACTACATTATGAGAGTGCATACGCATTGGCCATCTTGTCATGATTTTTGTATAGTGAGATATACAAATCTTCCACATTTGACCAGTTTGTGAACTTTAATACCTGTGGAAGGAGTTGGTCAAATTTTGATGTACTAAAATGGGAATACACCCCAAAACAGTGTGGGTGCCAATTAAACCACCCAAGAAAAATATGTTTTTTCCCAAAGAAAATTAATATTTTATTCCAATTGTAGATCTTGCAATTAATTATTTTTTTATTCCAAGATTTTTAGAATAAATTCCAAACAAATAATAAAAATCTCAATGCATAAAATAAAAGATTTACAATATATATCGTAAATAATTGAAATTAAATTTCAAGTGAATATTAATCAATGGCCAAAGCCTTTCCAACTAACTTCATCCTCCCACGTTTATGTTTTGATCCTACACTATCTGTTTCAGATTATCGGGGACAGTGGTTTTTTCCTTGATAATTTCAATGCCAACTATGTGCTTGCAAATGTACTCTTTCTAAAATAGGACAAGTACAGCTTGAAGTAATCCAGTCTGATAAATGGAAATCAATTATCCATAGCTTTGATTTGCTTGTTGAATATGAATCAGGCTTTTAATTTTTTTTCACCTCTTTTGCACTGTTGATTTTATTAACATAAATATTGAATATGAATCAAATTTTTTCCATGACATTCTTTTTATAAGCCCCAACGTTCTGTCGATTTCATCTGCACCCATTGATTGTTGTTTGACTGGGGAAATACATTGAATATAGTTTGCATCAATTTTTCTAAATCCCAGTCCTTTCTTACATTTTGCCCAGGTGTATGATTTAGAAATTAGCGAATTAGATAACGACGGTGACAAATAAAAGCACTTGTAGTATGGACTTTCTGGGCTTCTAACTTTCGACCAATTCTGGGGAAGTTTTAAAATACACCCGAAAAATTGCATGTGATTGTGCGCAAGTAAAATTAAACAGTCCTGAGTGAAGATGCGAAGTAATATCAACAGAAGGCTGAATGTGAATGATGGGATACATTTGTACATATAGTCAAAGCATAGCGTGCAAATGTATGCTTGTTTGATAACCAAATTATTCAAAAAACTCGAATTATTCATCACTGGAATATATTCTTTGCAACATTCATTCTTTGGAATGTTTTGTATTTTCTTTGGAGAAAAAAATTAACTCGATTGCAGATTTCATGATTGCAGAAAATTATTAATTTTCCTTGGAACAAAATATTATTTTCTTGGGCGCAATAAATTTGACCCAAACAGTGTTTGTATGTACATCATGGTACTTTATGGATCTACAGAAACAATATTAAGAATCACAACTGTGCATATTCCCAATGACAATTATACAATTTTTGCCTAAACTCGAATTTTCTATAGACAAATTTATATAAAAGTATAATATCTAATAATTTCTACATAATTTATGATATTGGACTTATAACAAATAAATTAGTTGTCATGTTGTAGGGTAAACTGCAAGATCAATTTGGAAAGTGAGATTCCTCTAATGAGAAAAGTGAGACGAGAGCGAGGCCACTGCTGCTTGCGAAGAATAAAACTCTATGGCAGAAATACTCGTAAACGGAGTAGTGCCGAGGACCCATTTACATTCTAAATGAGTTGCAAATATTTCGTTAAGTCAGTTAAAGCAGTCGACACTAATAAAACATGGAATACTCAGAAATTGAATGAAAGTAGGATGTGATCTGAGAAAGAGAATAAGTGATATTCCCCGCTGCGATTCTACACGATTGTCCTGGGCTGTCCGCACCCACTGACGGCACCCACTCGCTGCGTACACTGTGTCTACAACACAATGCAAATGCAATGGTTTGAGGATAAGTGAGACTACGACGAGTTCGCGAGATGCAATCAAGTGTATCTTCATATGCGACGACTTTCTTCTTCTGTCGTCAAATTATGCTAACAGGACTCCAACTATACTTCCGGCGTCTCTCATTTCTCAGAAAGTCTAAACTTTAATCTTACTGCAGGGACTAAATGAGCCTGGAATCCAGCAACGGGTCCTATTTCTCCTCCATTACTTATATTACTTCTCCAGTACGACAACACATGTCCCATCAGATGCCAATTTATTTACTAACTATAGCATAGTAATGGCTCAAAATGATTTTGCTGAGTGGAGTGCAAGGACTGGCCTTGAGTCAACCGACATTTTACTTACTTATGTACCTACGTAACAGCGTCTTGGCATTCCTTTAATTTCCTTCCAAGTATGCACACGGATATGAGTAAGATCATAAAATTTCAAGATATAAAACAATAGTCAATAAGAACATTTTAATCAAACTAGAATTTGTACAAGTCAATCTGTAGAGTTGAGTATATGCATCTGCTTATGTGTCTGCATACAAATGTACATATGTCTATAATACAACCGAGCATAATATAACAAACTGGTCCTTATTTTCAAACCTACACACCTTTAGCAGCAAATTTCATACTCATTCAAAAATGCGAATCGTATTACATATTACGCATGGATACGTTTAAAATACGCAAGTGTGAGAATAAAGGAATTGCAAGTTGTTTAAGCCAAAGAGAGGTCCGTGTCGTGGTCGTCTGGTTGATATGATCCCATTATGTCTAACTTAAAGATACCTATTCATTCAGGTCCCTAATCGTCTACACTTTCTTAAGATTCCCCATTTCCACATAAAACTTGATGAATTGGCCGTCACAGGAGAGTCTTAAGTCGGATGGACGCTTTTCATTTTATTTCATGAAAAGTGAGTCTCCATAAGTCCTGTACATAATAATAAAGCCTCTTACGAGCCGACTATCACATTATTTCCACTGTTCTTTCAGCTGTTACAATTGCACAGATAGGGAAAGGACACAGAGACTGTCGCTGTCCCCTCATTTTGTCCCTGGTTTTACAAGACGTACATACAGGACAGTTCTCCCTTCACTCACTCACCAACGCCCTCCTGTTGGCTTTGGCTCCCGTCCACCCATCGCCGCGCCGTGTTACCTAATAACGAGATGACTTTTTTGACGACATAAAAAATGTGTACTCGATTCCACCAGTTTCGTGATCAAGTAGTCGGTCAAGTAAAAACCAAATTGTATTTATTTATGACTCGGTTTATTAGTTTATAGCAAAGAGTGATTTCCAACCTATATTTGCCATACGGGAAATCCAATGATTATTACAGGTTTAGTTTCCGCAAAACAACTACATATCCAGCCCACACTTGATTGTGTGGTGTTATTCTATGCAACGAGGACCACACCCCATCACCTCCTCTGTCTAGCAGAAAGTACGACGTGCGAGGAAAGGGTATTTGGTTTGACGGCAATCCAAGGGAAGCTGGTAAGTTATGCTATTCACTTTTTCACTCTTTCTTTTCTCATAAATGTGCTTCATTTCCTACTCAACAATGCATGCCCACTTTCCCCATAAAAGTAAAACCAGAGCTGTCTCTCACTCCTGGCACAGGGCAAAGCAGGCGTACTGCAGGCAACCAACGTGAGAAACTTGGTGGTTGGTGGTGGTATTTGGATCCCGTACCTTTCTCTCTCGTGGCCCTCTCTTGTTCTAAATCCGCCCATTGTTCGTATTGACTCTGGAGCAAACCACCCACAGCATTTCATTCCACCTCGTTCGTTTGGCATTTTATACCTTTCAATCTTGCTAAATTGGATTGTCAGCCAGCCTCCTTAGCCACTCATTTCAAACTTAACCTGCTTCACCACTTCAACTGGGTCAAGTGTCAGAAGTTATTTCGGCGATAAACAATAATGAAGTTCTGGCCCATTGTTGTGCTCTTGGCTGGCGAAAGTTATAACAAAACGACCGCCGGCCCAAATTCCAGTCTGTGCGCTGTACAGTACAGTACTGTAGATCTATCTTGTATTACATATTACATGTATAGAGCTTTATTGTCTGGTGTGGTTTAGCTGTTTGGATGGATGGAAGAAACTTGCAGCAAGCAATATAAAAATATTGAGTGTATATAAAATGATGTACATACTCCATGCTAGGAATGCACCCATTAATTATCACCAATGAATGACCTGCTTAGGCCAAACCGGTAGTGAGCGTTAATAGATGTACCAGATGGGTACAAAGACTGTTCTTGGGTAAAATAATTTTTGAACACTCGTTATAATGTCATGAACATAGAGCATAGATTATGTAGTCACTTATATTGCAGTATAAATATGCATGACGATATTTAATATGCCTCCTTGTAAATGAACGTGCTAACCAAACCCACAGCAAGGTGACCGCAGAAACTTTGCAAAGATTTTCAGTGTCCAGAGAGCAAAGACTTCAACATAATTTTACAACAACTGTACGTGAACAACTTGCAGTTTTTGGCACAAAAGCTTCCTTATGGAGAGAGAAAAGCTTCAGCATAGCTTCGGATATGAACTTTATACGTGCATACACACTTATTAATCAGATCAAGCAGTGTCCCGCGGTTCTTATATTTATTTCATTGTTGCTCAACTTCTTAAATTGCATAGTATCATTTACAACAACTTTCTCCATGGTGTAATAATTTTACCACTAATTGCAAATCATAAAGTGGTAGTAGGAGAAAGCACTCGAGAAAAGATGGCTGCATATTAAAATTGAAACTGTTTTTCTCATATTTTTAAAGTTTTTGAAGCAAAAATTAATCGAAAGCAGTCCTACAGAAGGAATTAATTAAATAAGCTAAAAATGCATTAATACAATTTGAAACAAATTATACAGAATCATATTCCTCACGATCTTTTATTATTTATTATTTTTACACATTTCATCTTGTACATAATTGATAGTAATTGTAATCTGTCGACCTCTTATACATTCAAACAATGCAAGTGTTTTATAGATACATACTACATTTGTACGTCTATACATTTACGATGAGTAACCCACATTTAATTAAATGTTACAAATTAAACACATACATTGTGGAGACATCCATGAAATCAGCCAAGAAAAAGAATAAAGTCAATCATTAGTATATCCACCACATCAACCCTCTCGTAAACAAATTGTGGTTTATTAAGTACATAAACAGTTACTGATACACAAACATTAATACTTTTTTTTATATTACTCTGACATTCAACCTTTTATTTTCAATTGAATATGTACGATCCACTTGACTTTCAAGTAAATACGACGGCTTTGAAATAAAATATACAGCTGCAATACATTGACTAGTAGATACGAGTTACGAGTGTATTCACAAAAAGGTGTCATTGTTTAAACTAATTCACAGCAGTGCATAATACTTGGCGTCATAATTTTTCATAGATTTTATTTATATATACACATAGATTTATATTTATACTACATAAAATTTAATGAAACAAACGACATGCTACGTATCTTACCATTACGATTAATGCTGATTTTATCCATAATTTAGAGAGATATATTAATCTACATACTTACACAAGATCACATCCAGTGGAGTAGAAGCAATAAAGTCAACAGTCAGGACTGGATGAATGCTATCTAATTACTCAGACAATTTTAGGTCGAAAGTAGGAGGAAATCGGGTATGCCAGAGGTACCGTTAATATGATTAATGAAAGAAAGCAGTGAAAGTCATTTCACCTCTCAAACTCCGAACTGTACTTAAAACCTATGTACACGTACTCGAGTTATCTCTCCAGCCTCCACCACGGCGTCTTAATTATATTTACCAGCACGCCCGAGTAAAGACTTCATTTGAGTAAATATTCCAAATGCTTGTTGTTACAGCTTTAATTAATTGCTCGAGATTCCCTTCCCCAAAATTTTACCTTAACATATACATACATACTTTTACGTATTTCTGTCCTGTGCATATATATTCCATTAATTCTTGCTTCTATGGCCTATCCATTGCTGCCGGATTTAAAGCAAAGCTAGAAATATTACAAGAATCTCTGGATCAAAGTAAATTTTTAAACCACGGAGATTCTTTTTTGATAATAAACTTGGACTATGCCAAGAAGGCGGACGTCCAACAAGCTAAGAATGGTAAAAGTATTTTGCAAGAATGTTTTGTTTTTTATGCTATTTATTTACGCGTAGTTAATAATTTATTTAAATGGCATATATTACAATTATGTATGAGTGGTGGACCTTCCGCCTGAATATGTTTGATATTGTGTGTATGTTACATCTCATATGGTGTGCTAATAAGTACGAATTTGAAACTGAGTTGTTCACGTTTATAAAATTTGTCGTATTTTGTAAGCACACAGTTTATCAAACTTTAAACCCAATCTCAATTTATCATCACGAGTAAATGACATGACGAGCGATAGTGTAGATAGATATTTATGTAAAAAAGGGTACCCGGGTAGTACAACTACTGCTACAACAGTAGAAATGCCATATTGTCCACTTTACTGATTGTTGGGTATGCTATGCTACGTATTATCCTGAATATTAATAAGATTATGTTACTTCTATGTATACACACGTCGAACACTTACGCAGTAAATATTTGCCACGGTTTGTGTGTCGTCGTGGAATGTCCATGGTAAGTATCCATTGTCATCACAGCAGCACCTTCAAATAGCAAGATGAGAAATTTCCAAAGCTGAACTCTTGTTCAGTAGTGCACAAGACGTAGACTTGGACTCAAGCTGTCCTGTCCTAGAGGAGAGAAAGAGAGCGATCGGGCAGGAGTTTTATCTAGCATCATGCACTCGAAGCTAGTTACGTAATTTCCTCGTCAGTCTTTCGAAGTTACCGTGGTAGAGAAATTAATTACGAGGGCCCTGCTTAACCACCGTTAACCCCGATGAATGGGCCGTAACTCGTTGAAATGGTGCCCCTTGTCGCCCTTCTGATCTGCAACACAATGCAAAATTAGAATCCGATGGAACGGATGACCTCGTCCCGGATTTCTGGTTGCAATGCACTGCACAAACCATGTTGATATTCAGAGGCGCAGTAGCAGGAGGACAAGTACAAAGAACTGAACAACGCTTTTCACTTTCTCCACATTCGTAATGGGTAGTCAACGCTGGGTCGTCCTGCACTGGTGGCCGGTGATTGTGGTCGTTTTTGGAGATTTGGTGAGTGGAAGATGTGTCTCTGTCGCCTGGCTTTTCCCAACTCAAATAAAGATGATGGCAATGATGATTATGATGGAATGGTTGTTGGTGATGATAGCAGTGGTCGGAGAACTCTTGGCTGTCCCGAGTGTGACTTGAGACTTCATTCTCCAGTGAGGAGGGTGAAGACTCTGACGTGATTGTACAAAGAGCTCGTCGTTCATGTCCTCGTTCTGATCGGTCAACATGATTGGACATGAAGCGGAAGTAAAACGCTTGGAGGGCGAGACTGAGAAGAAATGAGAGGAACCACAACGGCGGGCAAGGGACGCAGGATGTCGAGTGAGAGCCGTGCTGCAAATTAAACAATTAAATGTGCAAGTCGCATAGGCAAACTATTAATTGAAGACGACAATAATTGGTTCTTAGTTTTAAGTACTTACCTGCATGGCAGCAGGATTTTCACCTAGAATAAAATACAACAAAGTATCGTTAAATCATGCAAAAATCACAAATGGTTGCTCATTTCAATTCATATACGTAGATACACATACTGTACTTTCACATATTATGCACTATGAATATATATGATGTATGTATGTACATAAATATATCTACATGGATTCACATGTGTCAAAAGATAATTGAACACCGTCTGGAATGACGATAATTGTATATAATTGGTATACTTGAATTTTGACGAGAAAGATACTGGAATGGCTGAAGCTACTCTCATTATAAACTGCTTTGATGTTCATGGGTTTTGATTCATAATAATCTGATGACTGAATGGGTCGATAACATGGTTTATGTAATGGGAGACATGCATTGTAACTTTAAATAAGGCACACGTACATACATAGGAACCACCCTTTACACAATTGTCTATTACGTTGTGAATATTATAATTGGACGCAGGCTTGAAATCACACTATGGGACTTCTGGTTGACAGCTCCTTATAATCTCAAATAGTTTATTACAAGGCCAATTCTCCAAGCCACACGAATTCATTATACGAAGGATCAATCTGTGTGGTCTCATTAGAAAATTGTGGTTCTCCGAGCCTTTGGTGTACACACATATAATCATTTTCAGTGGAAATAAAGAAGACGCATCAATTTAGTCTAATATGTAAGTTCCCCTTAGTTGTATGATTTTGAATTATTTTTGCTATGCTCACAGGGAATCAATCTGAGCAGCTTGATTTGTACTACAAATTTATGAATAGTATAACGAATAAAAACCGAAGGGTCTACACGCTTAGTTCAGAAAGGTTGCTGAGACCACTCCTTCAACTACTAACTTTTGCTAATTGGGTGAAAACACAAGTTTCTTATACAACTTATGATGATTGTAAGTATAATTTAATTTGTCTGCGTTTGTTGATCAATGGATAAATTGCTGTCAACCATACGAAGGAAGCACGGTAATCAAATTAACACAACTGCTTCCAACAACCGTTTCAAATCCCGTAGTAAGTAAGTAAGTCGTATTCTTTCATTACGACTTACTTTTGAAAACTGCAATTATTGCAACGTTTTATTCGCGTTGCGTAGCTCAAGAAAACTTGGCGATATATCGCATATCAATTCGTGGATACGCTTACACACCCAACTTGACGCAACCCATTGTTTAGCTATACTGCGTAACATGGCTGAGGAAAGAACCTTGCTCGTTGAAAGAGCAAAAGGCGAACAAAGATGCCGTTTTTATTCATTCCATGTGGAGGAGAGCGAGTCAAAGGAGATCAATTTCCTTGAGATTCCAGAGTTAAATGAAACCACAAGACAGACATGAAATATCGCGTATGAAGAGGAGGAGAAAGTCGTCGTCGGTTGAGTGAGACACCATCACCACCATTCCAATTTATGCAGGGAGCACAAGAACGCTCAATTCTCAAATTCCGTTGGAAAATGGAATGGTTCTCTTGCCCAAGACATTTCTGATCTGGACTGGATTCGTTTGCATTCATCCGCATTTACATCAATAGAGATCTATATCGGCCTGATGCTCTGGGCAAACTTTTATGGAGAGACTACAATCTGCATAGAAAGAGGCCGACCAAGACCAATAGAGAGAGCAAATAATACAATTCACTCTCTTTGCACTCATATTCAAAATTTTCTCCCTTCCTTGAACTAGAACTACTTGTTAACTCATTCCTCCAACTCCAGCCAAAAACGGACCACCACCATCACCGTCCTCGTCTATCGTGTATATGTAGAGATGCGAATGCGAATAAACGCTACAGGAGACGAGTCGAACCAACCCGTCACTGTTTTCTCCTGTGCCCATCCCATCCCATTATGGGACAACTATTTTATTGGAGTTCCAAAGCGCAGTGATTGAAGTGAAGCATTGACATTGCCGCCGCTTCCTCATCCAGAATTCAAATAAAAAGCCGTCTCTTTCAACGACGACTGCATTGCACTGCGCTGCAGCAGATCAGATGTATGTCTCAATAAAATGTAATTTCGACTATCGGAGGCTATGTAGGTGAAAGCGAATAAGCGAGCAAAGCCAGCCACGTTTGTTTGTTACGCTCGGATAGTGCGGAGCTCAAGGTAAGAACCAACTTAAACTACAGAGACGTGTTGTGACTGTAATGGACTTTAAACCAGGACTGCGAGTTTTCCTGTGCAAGTTGTTGATTTAATGCAACGAGCAACGATTTCACCTCCAGAAATCACACTGAAAATCACCCTCCTCCTCCCAACCCTGTATCAGATCGGGTATGTATACGTACCAAATATAGCACGAGCATTAATTTTAAGCCAGGATATAACTTACAACCGAACTGCATACACTATCAATAATCAATCAAGCGAGAGAATGAAGATGACATTTGAGTTTATCCATTGCCGAGTTGAGGTAACGTGCAACACAGACTTTCACATACTTATTTCTGCCATCATCGACGGAGAAAATAAGTTATAGGTTTTTTGCAGAGTAATGATAGAGCACAGGGTTCAGATTCAGTCTCTACCCCACACGGCTTCACACTCTCAAGATATGTGCATACGAAGGAGTCCATGGGAGCGTGGTGGATGTAAATGATTCTCATTTTGCATATGAGAAGAACAAAGTAGACTTCTCTTGTTTGGAGAAAGCAGCAGCAGCAGCAGCGATATTTGATATTTTCCGATTCCTCAAAAAATCTTGAGCAAAATCTCTCACGCATCCCATCCAGTGATACGAACTGGATGAGAGCGGAAGTGAGTCGAGACAGGAGCAAATTTTTCACTGGCTAAAATCTCAAAGTACTTTTCCTTGGGTGAAAGCGCTGCTCCTCGTCTCGAGATTTGTTTCTCTCTCTCTCTCCCAGGGCCTCTAGCTGTGTGTGTGGATTGTAGTGATGCATATTTACTGGCGGTGGTCGTAAGAGTCGTGGATGGGAGGTGGTGGCGGGGTATGAGAAATATAAGTTGTTTATGAAATATTGGTTCCTTGAGCAGAAGAGACCTTCTCGGCAGAAGAAATGAAAGAATCTATTCTTGCCAAGACAGGATCCTATTCTTTAGTAAAACTTGGGCTCTTTTTCATTCTCACCAATCTCACGAGAGTCTCCCGTTTATCAATCTCTCTCCTCCTCCTCCTCCAAACTTATTCCTTGTACATAGGCGAGGCAGAAGATGAGAGCAAAGTAAGCTGATGGCTGAATTGGGGAACAAACTATGGAAATATTTACGTACCATTATTGAAAGGAATTTGATTTCAAAATCAATTTAACTTTCCAGGTAATGCCCCGCACCAAGTGAGGCGGCTTAAAAGACGCATTCTTCTTCATTTCTCGTCCCATTTTCCATTGGCTTTTTAGCTTATTAAGTGTCTCAAGTGCGAGTATTCTTAAGAAAAACAGTTTCCCTTTGGAAATTCAATCACTGGGGGACTTTTTCATCATATGCCATTGTATTAGGGCGTATCGTTGTTTCTCTTATTCAAGCATGATGAATAATTTTAGTGTGAAGTGGATTCTCTTTTGATCCCGGCCTACAAGCGGAGTTATCACAAGGCTATAAATCCTGAAAGCGATTTGAAACATGGATTTCAATTTTGTTCTCTAGATTGACTTTTCTTTTGGCAAATCCAAGTTTGCGCGTCAATCTTTAGGTTTAATTATTTCTGGAGACGTGAGGTGAAAGTCAAGCTCATGCCAAAAGTATGAAGTGTACACAGTAAAATCAATATTTCAACTTCTGTCAGCTCCATGTTTACGCCAGTCAGCGTTGTTTACGAATACAAATAGCCGCTGGCTTTCACAGAACTATGCGTATATTAATAAATATGTGCAATACAGAAACCCTACTTACTAGCTCGTGGCGCATATGATGTATTACTCTTTGCATATCAGCAAATAAAAATGAAGAACTATGCAGAAGGAGTAAAGAGAGGAAATTTTAATTAAAACTAAGAGACACGAAAGTCTAAATCTCTGCTTAAAAATGTAAAACTATTAAAATTAATAATGAAAGGGAAACATTTTGCAAAAGAAATACTTTTGCTCGAAAACAAAAGCAAATAATAATATTCCACATGGTTCCTGGAGCTACTGATAATTATTTTTCTTACACTATGAGAACTTGTTTCAAAGAAAGTACGAATAGAAATACTCTTTAAACATACTTACCATTTATAATGTGGACGAATATACTAGCTGGATGGGCGTTTGAAGGAACACAGGAATAGTTTCCTTGCTAGAAAAATTTGGACAATTTCATGTTTTTTTAACATTTTTCAAAAGTTTTCAAGTTATTTTTTTCACGTTATGCAATACCTGCTGTTTCTGGACGTTGTAGAGAATCAAAACGCTGGAAGATTTGTAATGGGTCACATTAATATGCCGACTCCGATCGTAGTTTATCATTTGAAGCCCCTGCAAATTTGAATGAAAATTAAAATTCCATCAAAAACTGCTGTTCACTTGGAGAAAGAATATCTTCAACTTTTATTATCTGCCATTTAAAGCGTCATAATTCTCCTCTTGCTCTCATTTGCTCACTCTCTCCTTACAGCTCAAATTCTTTTGTACTTGTAATTTTTCCCTGCATGGGAGACCATTAGCCATATATCTTTATTAACTACATCCACTTCTTCCTCCTTCGCCCTCCCTCTTGAAATTAGAGCAGGAAAGTATTCTATTCCGTAATAAATTCCAAGTATTGTCTTAACTAATTTATGATGAAAGCAAACTCCAACAACTTTTCCTCTCATTGTCCATAAGCTACGTACTACGTGTATCCCTAGTCATTTGACTTACGTACTTTTGCACATATATCTAATACGTATATGTGTAAAAGTACACATACCTCACTCTTTTTGATACTTGAACTCATTTGCTCATTTACATGCTCTGCTAAATATCTAACCCACTCACATAACCACCGTTCCCCAAAATTCTAAGAATGTTTTTTAGTCTTATTAGCAACTGGCTATGGTTTCCGTGATAAGTACGCATAAAGAAAGATAAGAACTTGTAACGCCTTTGATTGCACATTTTTTTCACCGCCGCCTCCACATTTTCATTACGACACAAAAAAGCATAAAAAGCCACCCAATGCTGCACAAATTGCAAAAAGTGTTTGCAGGAAAGGACCGCAATTGTGTGGCATTGTGACGAAGAAAGTTAGAGTGGTCGGATTGAGTTTGGTTGGTGCGAACGATTGGAAAGGGTGAAAGGTGATTACGCTCACTATTACCAAACAACGTACCTGATACCACCAAAAATATTCTGGTTCTTCAGTGCTGTCAATGAGGTCGCATTTCAATTCGACGGTGCTCCCAGCCTTGTAGATCTTCTCTGGCCCACCAACTATCTCGGCGCGGACCTCTGCAAATAAGAAAAGTCAGGTAAAATCAATCCTAATCAGAGCAAAAGCGACTCGTCTGCTGGAATGAAAGAGGCAACAAAGAAGACTCGCCAAAACGCCTTCAATCAATCATGGAAACACTTATGGCTCAAGGAGAAATTAATTTGAGTGGTGGCCGGGTGTATATAGCCCACAATCCATATTATTACATATATATGGACCATGAAATAACGTCCGAAAACAACTAGAATTACTTGTTTCTCATCTCCACGAGTCTTATTAGTTAGCGGAACTATATGTTTCGACTTGTGTGTTGGAGGGAGTAATTTAGAAGAGTAGTTTATTTTAGATTTGTATGGTGCTGGATGAACAGCCGAGTGATTGGTAGTTTTCAGTAAACTATGTAGTTCAAGGTGGAGATGCCTTAATGATGTATGTATTCATGACTGGCATTGGTATCAATCAAAGGTTTCAGCTGAGAGTGATTATTTTAATTATTCGCAATTACTGACTGAATTGATATGCTGACTTGAAGAAACAAAATAATAAATTACTCTCACGAAATGGAAATTGTATCAAGGTTTTGGTTGAATAAATACAACATATGGATTATTTTGCCGTTGAACGGGAGGAGCAGAAATGGATTCACAATAAATTCATAAAGGAAATTCATTCATTCCGGAGGATGGGATGAGAAATGATTCATGGGATGCGGAACGAGTCAGCGTGAAGCAAGTGGATGGTTTGATAAGTAGAAGTGGATGATGGACTGCTTGGACACGGAGAATGATGAATGAGTGTATTGGAGAAAGTCATTTCTCATCACGAGCAGGAAAGGAGGAAACTGAGCTGAGCAGCTTTGGACCGAAATGATACATATTAGTGGACATTATTACTACACCAGCAAAAACCTTGTTGACCAACTCGTCCACGTCGGAGGACGAGGAACGTATGATGGTTTTACACACTAACAATGACTTTCACAATGCAAAATCATTACCTTTTTTAGTCTGACAATAAAAAGCCAAAGGAAAATGCTTGACAATAGCTCACTTGCAAACTTTTCTTACCTTGGACTTTTAGGGTCACAAAGACGCTGGAAGGTGGATGTGTTCCAACGAGACAAATGTAGACGCCCTCGTCTCGTAATTGGACAAACTTAATTAGCAAAGAAACGTCCTGGAAATATATAAAAGAGAGTGTCAAATCATTAGTTATTTCATCATTCTATTATACCAGTTATTTGCAAAGTGATTACAGCTTCTAGATACTGGTGATTCAATATTAGTAAACTACTTCGTAGTTATTGTAATCTGGTGATTAATAACGGTTTAATTGATAATTTTGCGTTAATTCAGTTGTCAGTTGTTGGAAAGTTGTAAACTCCTTGATAATTTACTTGACTTGTATTCTTGACGTCTATACCTACACTTTATTAAAATTTCAGCCAGAATTTTTCAGCCAAAGTGCCAAAAATGTCTTTAAACTTAATACATGACATTTTTTTAATTATTTCGTTCTTTACTAGAAGAAAGTAAATACATACGTACATAGATATATATACTCACTGAACATTAAGAAAATGGACCTCATTTGAGACATGCATATTAACAATACGTGCGAATGTGCGTTTGAAAGAAATAGGAAGAAGACGTGACAGAGGGACTATTACAATGACTGATTATCTTGAGTGCGCTGGCAAGATTAATAATCTTCATTATCATCACTTAATCCTTTGAATTCCAATCTTTCACATCGCTCACTTCATTTCTCAGAACTCAAACCTATGCCGGAATGAGTGGGAGGGACAGTCGCATCTCCATCTTGTCCCCTACAACGTACCCAACGACCCGTCCAATCTCTATTTTAATTTTACTTTGAGATTACATACGTAGGATCACGACTTGATCTTTAAGTCTTTAGGTCTTCAGACATTTTAATTTTCAAATCCGTAGAAATAAAATGTACAAATGTACATATTTTTTTGCTATTTTATTCAAAAAAATTCATAAAGTTGACTGACTTCGCATACCACAAGAAAACTTGCATGTCAATGGAGTGAAAGTTGCTAAAACTTTGTTGCCGTTCAACTATGCATTGAGATTAATACTGAAGAAAGTACAAAAACTGGTCCAGAAATCCTGCAAATACGAAATACTTAATCCCGTTGATCCAAAATTTTCTATTGTGGTTTGTGAACGAATTTTATCACTTGGTTGTTATTAGTTTGTAAACTTTCTCCATTTTTGCCAAAAATTCTTCCATTCAGTACTTCGCCTCCAAGTCTTCCGAACCATTCAATAGTTGAGTTGTGGAAAAAAACAATTCGAGAAACTTGAACAATACGTTTCACAACCCTTCCATTTAAAAGTTTGCAAACTAAAAAAATAGCATTAACATCAACACCTTTTGTTCGGAAAAATTCCCATCAATCATGATCTAAAAAAAACATGGTTCGTTTTTTCTTACAGATTGAACGCATATGTATTTACAATTAGTGTCTGCATTTATAATTATAAGTACGCTTTAAAAAAATGATAAGGACCCAAGTCAGAACATTTGTTTAATCATTATTTTTTTGTGGTATACACATATTTTACCAAATATGTAGTTTTACTGTGGACTGCAAAAAACCCAAAAGTTTCACCATTGTCCTTGGCTGCGGACACTGAAATTAAGTATGTTAATCCAATTTCCTCAAAGTTTAATCTCGTTGATCATATTTTACGGAGCATGTACATATGAATGCCCATATAGTCTCGCCATTCTCGCTTACCCACGCTTTGTGTCGGGTGGCCCAGCATAGGGCTGTTTTTCATTATTTACACATGAATGGGGGAATGGAAAGACGGAAAGGAGAGCAAATCTAGCATTAAATGTCACTGCCAAACAGTTCCATTACATTAAAGCTTCGTTGTCCAACACAAATTTTATCTGATTAGGCAACAGAGCTTAATTGAAAATCCCAGTTACGCTTCAATATACAGCCCCGCTCTCTCCTTCCGCTTTGTCACAACTGACTTCACCCAACGCAGCCCTGTCTCCAGATCGTCGGCAAGGCACTAAGTCACCGCCGCTTTCTCCTTGCGACTCCCACTCCTCTGATCTTCGCTCGTTGACGAGATACTTATTTGGAGCTGCAGGGCTGGTGACTCTGCAGTGTTTATTCACTTGTGTCCTGATTATTGGTTGATGAGCACTTGTCCAAATGTGCATAATCCCGATTGAAAATAAACGACCCTTTAATTTTTGCATGAGAACACTGGACAGCATCATATTTATATTACATTTATATACATCATCTAACCTTCCAGTACTATGTAACTAGTAGCATAGTAGAAAGTACAGCATAATAAGAGAGAAAATCCATGCAGATTTTTTAACGTGTTTCCTGATAATCAGATCTCTGTTCTACCACGAGTGTAATCACTTTATCGATAAATCTATATCGACTGTTTACCCTGACTTGGCCCATTTTCTTGAACGATGAATGAAAAAGCGGAGACGATGGAGAAAGCTATAAACTTTCTCCTCGTCATCCTTCATTCAAAAGCCTAGCTGGGGCAAATATTATATCTCCTAAATGTACTTTCCATCTATAAGAACGCTCTCTATTCAACCAAGTAATAAGAAAGCAGATGATAATGATACGACTACACGATAACACGATACGGTCCCTATCTGATTTCCATTTTGGCCACATTATTGATGGCCATATTTTTGAGAGGGAACACCCAGAGACGTTTTGGTTACGAAGTATTATCGTTAGGTACCAACCAAGCCTACAATTTTGTTAAGCTTGCAGATTATCAACATGAACGTTAGAATAATATATTATTTCGTTGACCCCACGATGCCTGCAGCAATATTTAAATCAATCTCAAACTTTGCCATCATAAACAGGGTAATATTACTGACAGCATATATCTATTTGTGTGCATATACTTTATAAGGTCGAAAAGTAGAGTTTTTAATAAGGTTTTCTTTAAAATTCTAAACAAGTTAGCTGGCAAAGGTCCTATGTCATTTTCCATCTAGGTTTCCCACGCACATTATTTTAATACAAGATTCGATTCTGTAAGTTATGAAATATACACAAGTAAAACAACTATGTATTTATATAATCTCTTCTTTTTAAAGATGGTGATTGAGTACTTTTCTTTCCTGAACGCTGCGTGGGCATTGGACCGTTGAAGTTATTAAAAGCTCTTTTCATATCCTATAGATTTGAATGGGCGAAAGTATCACATCTATTTAACTTTCGATGTATTATGAAACCCTTAATCTATTGAAATCCAAAAATTAAATATGGGAAACTTGAAGCAAACTTTAGTTTTGAAATTTGTTTGTATGGATATTTGAAAACATAAAGGGATTAAAGTCTGTATACATATGTATCTAGATGCGCAACGCGAATTTGTTTGTGCGCCGTAGCAATACTCCAAATTGTTTTTAACGAATGTATGTACTCCTTATAAAAGGTAATAAACCATCTAAGAAGATATGGAACAATTTATATCACCAATTACTAATTTCTACTACATAAAATATTCCTTCGTAAACTTGTGGCAAAAATGATGGCGATCTTTATTTTGTGACACTCCGATTCGTTGGACCGAAAGCACACAGAACATGACAGAAAATAGTTGAGGACCTCCAATTTGATTTTATCTTTATTGCATCTCTCAATCAAACTTGATTCCAGTTATCGATGAACCCCGCAGGCATCTTGAAATGACCTAAATTGAGAAGTACGCATGCACATAGATACATACGCATCTCGACGGTAGTGTCCAGGTGGCTAAGGAGAAGCTGATCGTCCAGTTCAGTGCGGATAACGTATAGTTGTTTTGTTAGCCATTAAAAATACGAGTTGGGGCGATTGAATTTAATGATGTTGATTCAGTATATCGTTTGAATTTGAGTTCAACAACATCATAGAATAACACAATGTGCCTTGTGTGTGTAGTCATCCTCAAATCGTTGACTGACTCATTGAAGAAGACGAAGTATGTTGGAGGTCCAACGTACATAAACATTTACATTCACAGCAATTTTCCTTACAGTTGCGGATAAACGAAAAGAAAGTTTCTATTTATAACTTATGGTACGCAGATAAAGGGTCGAGACGATATTAGCTGTAGCCAACTGTCCGTCACAAATGGCTTCATAAAATCTGACTGAAAACGGAAAAAGTTGACAATCAGACGCTTTTATGTAGGAATGTCACTACTGCATCAGCTATATGCAACGCAACTGTTAACAGCTTTCACTTTCAACTTCAAAAAGAGCATGGAAAAATTGATTTGTTTTTACAACTTCTTTCTGATTATATTTACAATCAAAAGTAAGTCATCTGAATGTTTCATTTTTAAAGAAAGGATTCTGCTCATAGTCAGAACCAGTAATTATGAAATCGTCATGTCTGACTTTTTTCTTACATAGGTGAAAGTCATTAGATTCTGCTTAACTGCATCAAATTGTAGAAATTTATACCATGAAGGTATAAATATTTGTGCATACATACAATCTTACAAGGCATTCAGAGATTCAATAGAATTATCCATACAGAGTTATTTTTCAAATTAATTGCTGAAATTTTGCATGGGCAATAAAAATTAATGCACAAAAGTGATACAACTTTTGCAGCACATTAGTTATGGCACCTCAGCCGTTACAGAGAAAGTGCAAAGTCAAACGTGCACTTTAGGTTTTTCAAGTACCTATTTTGGAGACCATGTGAAATCAATTAAAAATTGTTGCGCTAAGCTGTGTAACATGACGAATGATACACTGTTACCAAAAATAAGTGATAGTTGCAGTATACCACATTTTAGAAGGAGGTGAAACAGCGCTGATAGTGGCAATGGCAGCAACGTTTTTTTTGTCTTTTTCGTCATTCCAACATAACTTATTAGACCCTACGATTCCCAAAGTTCTCAGTCAGTCCACGTATCCGGACAAACCAACCGAGATTTCCTGATCTGCTACTCGTGACTTTCTTCTTGGTTCTCATCCCAAATCTGCTTTTGTCTTCTCTTTTAAAACATTGAAAGACATTTAGAGTCTTCATGCCGGTGGTTGGAACCAAGTGAACCAACTTCCTTTCTAGGGCACAGTAAGTAGACGTCTGTTGGAAAATTTCCACGGACGGAAAATACATGATGGCCATCTGAAAT